AGAAAAGCGGACTAACGTCACTGTCATCACTGATAACGTAGACGCGGTGATAAGGGATATGAAACAAATGAGGGAGAAAATCATGTCTACCGCCTTTATAGGAAACGTAAAAGACAGCTCGATAGTCTAGTAACAACATGACTTTCACTGATGCTAGTGAGCGCTCGTGTAGGACTTCAACAAAGTGAAACACTGTACCGCAAAAGGACTCAGAAATTCCCTTGCAAGCGTGAGAGAAGGTACTTTTCTCCCGAGAATCGCGTCGCACTCGCCGCACTCAATCGTGCGCGTTCGCGTGCTGTGAAATGGAAGATTTGAACTTTTAGTGGAGGGATACGGCAGCCACACCACTGTCACTTACCGTGGGGAGTTCGGGGAGAGGTATTTCATCCACCTAGCACATGCCAAAGACAACTTTGCCTTTCTGAAGTTCTGAAAAGGTACTCACGGAAAGTAGGACTTGATTGCCATCCATCCATTCAAAAGCGGTCTGTGGTGTGAAAGTAATATTTTGAGGCAGATCTTGAGGAGTATTGCGAGCCAACTGAAAGAAAATTTCAGAGTGAACAAAAAAGCTGTAACCTAAGTTGTTCAATACGATAATTACAGATACCGTAGAGAAGAAAAAGCCTCTTGGATAAACTGTGGTATCGACAACTCTATCATAATTCAAAAACTATTACAGCTGACCTGGAATCGCTTGTGCTTCCGGTTCCATCGAAATCGATAGGCTGTTCGGTGATCGATTAAAATCGTAACACCCGATCGAGAATTAGTGAGGGCTGCGGAGACGGTCCGTGGACCATCAGGAAATAGTTCCGTAATGAGATAGGACGCCTGAAACAAAATGCTTCCCATGCATTATATAGATATGTAGGTGCTGCTATTGTGCTATGTACTTCCTTTTGCTTTAAGTAAGTAAAAATCCCGGTAGGCTAGGTTCTTGCAGGGAACGGAATCCGCCCTGAGATGAGGGGACTCAACAACTTTTTTGAGAAGATTAGCCTAAAGTTTAGGGATGTATAGAAGATGAATCGCACGACATTTAGAGCAACAGAGAGACGTGCCAATAGAGAATCCTTCATAGTGATGAAGAGGCATAACTCGTGCTTATTTAATGTAATGCTTCGTCTTAAAATGGGGTTTGTGCAGTCAACTGCACCGAACCACTGCGGGTATCTTCACACTCATTAAGTTCTACAAACAAACAAACGGGTGCTTATTTAATGTAATGCTTCGTCTTAAAATGGGGTTTGTGCAGTCAACTGCACCGAACCACTGCGGGTATCTTCACACTCATTAAGTTCTACAAACAAACAAACGGAGGTTCTACAAACAAACAAA